CCCTAGAGCTTGGGTGGTTTTTATAGAGAACACAGATTCAAAAATTAGTGGCATGTTCAACAGAACTTGATCGATGGATCCTCTTTTAGATTGGAAACAAAAGCTAAATTATTGGGTGTTAGAGTTCATAAAAAAGGACTGAAAGAATTATTTTCTACATTCTCTAGTTTCGCAAACTTTTGTGCCCCCTTCAGAAGAAGCAAGTTGACCCCTAGAGGGAGACCTTCAAGTGCCCCAAGGTTCCTTTCTGAGGGGTACCCTGGCTTTCCTGAGTAGGGATTTGAGCCAATAGCAGAAAAAAGAAACAGTGATATCAAACCTTCGTCAAAGTGAACTAGGAGCTCTAACATCTATTCAAGTTGAAAAGTATCGTGAAAAAAAACTTCTAGTTTGTTTTTTTGCCGCTGCTTCGAAATAGGTTCTGGAAAATTTAGAAAATAACCAACTAACAAGGAAAGTGTGTAAAGTGAACATCGCGGATCTGGTCCAAACTTCTGTGGTCCTGATATGAGTACTCGAAATTGAAGAGAAATATCTGTAGTTTTTATTAGAAATCATTTTAGAGAATTTCCTGAAAATTGGCTTGAAAACTTCTGAATGTACCAATGAAATTCCTGAAGTCGCAACCTGCACAACTTTCTAATTTTCGAGAAAAGAAGCTTTAAAGTCAAAGAAAACCTCAATTATATAAAAAATAGGCTATTTTGAGGCTTTGAGTTCTTATTTCTCGAAGACGAGAGAGTTGTGTAAAGACTTTCTGAATTTTCTTCTGGTACATCAAGAAGTGTTCGGGCCAACTTCCAGGAAATTCCTGAGCGCCAAGTAAAATGACCTCCATTGTTAGGGTACTGAGAAATAGCTTGTCGAAAATGTACGGCAATGCTGATTTCCTTTGATTATTCGATTTCTAAAACGTCTACTATAATTCACTATAACATGAGAAACACGAGAAATAATTTTTTTCCACAAGAAACCCAAAGTTGACTCGTTTTTGAGATTTCTCTTTACAGTACCCCAAGACGCTGAGTATATAATTTTTTTTTCTGCTTTTTCTTCAGCGTCTGTCCCGCTCGGTTGCGAGGTCCGCTTTCGTAGAACGTTGTTGCCATTTTGTTCTGTCGGCTGCTTGGTCTGTGTGGAGTTTCATCGCTTTCAGATCTTCGTTAAGCGTGTCCATCCACCTTCTTCTTGGTCGGCCCCTAAGCCTTTTTCCATTGACGTCCAACGTGTAGCTTCAGTTTGACCATTTGTCGGATCCTCGCGTGTATGATGAGTTCCAGGATCTTCATGGTATGACCGAGGAGTCTGATCGGGCGGTAACAGTCAACGTCTGCGAGAGATCCTTTCTTTTTCCAGATCGGGACTGTCGTGCTACGGCTCTAGTCTATGGGCGCCTTATTCTCCTTCACTAGCTGCTTGAAAAGTTCTGCTAGACACTTTGACGCCTCGCTCTCGTGTCTCTTCCAGGCTTCTTCTGCTCTGTCGTCTGGGCCAGTGGCTTTGCCGGTTTTCATGGCTTTGAGGGTGACAACGACATCTGCGCTTCGAGTTTCGGATTGGAGAATGACGCAACTCTTCGTTGACGATCTTCTCAAAATGCCGTCTTCATTGCTCGATGATATCCTTGTGGTGGGTCAGCAGTTTCCCGTCTTCGTCCATGACACACTGAAAGTGTCGAAGTGCTCGATCTCCGCTAAGGCCACGGCTTTCTTTGCTTCGTGTTTCGAGAATCGGTAGTCCTGCCATTTCTCAGTGGTTTTTTTTGGCAAGAAAGGCATGGTAGGCCTTTTTCTTCGCTTTAACTTTTTCGTTGACGTCTGTGGTCCGCCACCAAGGCATTTTTCCGTTCTTCTTTTTTCCTGGTTTGGTGAGGCCGAGGGCGTTTCCTGCATGGTTCGTTATCAGTTCCTTCGCCGACTGCCGAGAAGTGTCCACTGATTTGAAAGCTGGTAGGAGGGTCGGGTCGAAGAAGTCAAATCGGCTTTCTTTCCATTTCCACCACTTTTCTTGTTTTCCCGGCGCGCTCATCTGATCTTCTTCGCAGCCGCTATCCGTAGGTCAGCCAGGAGAAGCCTGTGCTGCGGCGCTACCGTCTCGTAGGCGAGAGCTTTGCAGCCCAGCACTGCGCATCTGTCCGCTCTTCTGATTGTGATGTAGTCTATCTGCGTTTGGCCCCTTGTGCTGTAGAACGTCTTGATGTAAGACTCCCTCTTTGTGAACATCGTGTTGGCGACGATCGCTTCATGGCTCGTCCTGTACTCCAGATTCCTCACGCTCTCCTCATTTGCTGCACCGTAGCCGTGAGATCCGTTGCATTGGTATGACACCGCTTTCGAGCCGACGTGTTCAGGTCGCCGGAGTAGATGAGGTAGTCTTCCAGTGACGCTTCTGCAGTGATGTTGTCCAACATGTCCCAGAAGTATTCTAATGACTTTGCCGAGCATCCGAGTTGGGGAGCGTACGCGCATATGAAGTGGAGTTTTCTGCCTTCAGCCAGGAAGACTATTTTCATAACGCGGTCGTCGTAGCGTTGGACTTTAAGGCGGTATTTGAGGCCTACAATGGTTCCGACAAAACTTCGCACCATTACTGCGAGGCTCACCTCACACTCTTCCCTCGTTAGATTTCTCATGGACC